GCTTTGACACCATTTCCTCCTTATTCCTGTGGACTCCCTAGCACTTTGCTGCTCACCTTTCAAGACATGGATGGCTTTTTCCTTTGTCTGTCCCCTATGGACAACTGGAGAGAAGGAACTATGTGTCATTCATTCCTGCAGCCTCAGCAGCTAGGAACTGGAACACAGCAGGCACTCAGACAAATTTGTCAAATCAACCAATATAGAACTCTAAACCTCACCTCTTCCCAGGATTCCAAGTCTTCTGGATTTCCCTCCTTTATTTCTTGCATCAAAGAGCACACGAGTCTTTGTCCTACCCCTGGCTGAAGACTGAGCCCTCAGCTGGTGCTCCGCTGGGCTGTCCCCTACCAATCCGCTTGGCTTTACAGCACGGGGAGGCATTGCTGAGGCAGGACAGCCACGCTGAGAGCCACGGGGTGGGCAGCTTCCTTGTTACACTTCTTTCTGAATTTGTGCCATGCAGCGTCTGCCCGTGGGGGCCTCCTTTTAATATCCAACACTGCATTTTCCAGATGAGCCCAACCACCTGTAAAGCCTGGGGCGGGGATCCCCTCTTTACCTTTAGGATGGTCTTCCTCTTCCTCCTCCTATTTTGGCCTTTGGCAAAATCAGACTTTCTAATAGACCAAACCAGGACAGTAATTCTTCAAAATCTTGGACATAAAATCAATAAGATTTTGATGTGTTCCTATACCATGTTTAAAAATTTTTGTCTGCTTCTGATTCCCAAATTTATCTTCTATGATTAACATGCATTTGTGTTTTATTTCTCTCCTAGTGTTTTATTTTTCCATGCATGTGTTATTGAGGAGCAAATGGATTTAATGTATTCAGAGAGAATGTATTCCTTGAGCCCAGGAAGGGTAGCTCTAATGTAATTGATTTAAACCAGTTATAATCTCAATTTCCTCCTCTCTTTCCCTTATAACTCAGCAGCTGTAACTCTTCTTCTAACAGCAACTCCTTCTAACATCCTTTTTATAAAGTAAGTTCTTATATTTTCTAAAGTACTTAGCACCATAATAATTATGTGATATGTCTTTTACATTTTTATTAGGAATGTTAATTGTTTTTATTGGTTTTTAAGTGGTTTGTTCAAACCCTCTATCCTTCATTATTTTGCAGAAAGTGAGGTTGTTCATTAAAATGTTTTAGTAGAAAACACATGAGTCCCTGCAATAGCAACTGTGTTACTGAAACTAGGGCAGATATTTAAGCTTACTAAGACTGTTTGTTCTTCTGAAAAATGGGGATAATAATAGTACCTATCTGATAGAATAAAATTATTGTGAGGAGTAAATGAGAATGTCACTGTAAAATTCTTAGCACAGTATCTGTATATAAAAAGTGCTCAACAAATTTACCAAGTATTACTATTATTATTATTACTATCCATCAACCATCTCTCAGGTGGCTTGACTGTGATTCTTTTGCATTCTGTTGGCTCTCCTTCGGACACCCTACTGTTTGTCATCATTCTTCTTAAGGTTTGGGACCCATGTCATCAAGGTTGGACTTGTGCATAGAGGAATAGACCTCAGCATCCTAGTGCTGTACTCGGTTATTTTATTATTATAATCCTACACTAGTTTCTTTTCTTCCCAATACTTTCTCATGATGATGCCACTGAAAGACCGGTGTCTTTATCACCTATTCACAGATAAGCCAAGTTTCTCTCTGTCATACTTACTTAATTTTAAAAACCCAATGTAAAGCTGGATGCTTAACCTACCAAATTTCATCTTGTCAGCCAGCCATCAATCTAGTCAGCCCAGATGAGACCTGACTCTTTTGTACGATGTTGCGCCTTGCCCACCTCCTTCAGGCCATCTGCATACTTGGCTGGTTTACTTTCTCTAAACTTTTCCAAATCACAAGTAACATTATTGAGAAGGGTGAGAGCAGAGTAATTTTATCCTGAATTTTAGGATTTTCTCCAGGTTAACATTTTGGAGTACAGTTGTTCTCCCTGGTGTAAGTTTACCTAATTCTAATGTAATTTTCTCCATTTTTCTCCATCTTAACTACAAACACAGCCCTCCCTGGACTGCCTGCCCCCCAAGTAGGACACCCCGTGACTTATCATGTTGGCACTGCCCATTTCCTTTCTTTGCTCCCCCCGACCTTGAGCGTAAGATGGAGTGTTGCTCAGGGCTGACTCCCCTTTATCTAGCACACACGCTTCATCATTTATTGAATGTTGAACAAACGAATGAACAATTTTGCTGAATGTCGAGCTGAAGTGAAGTCACACATTTCCATGGAGAGTGTCTTAATCTGCCAGTCAAGCAGCTAGACAGAAAATGAAGTCCACACATCCAGTTCTTGGTGGCCACATGCAAGCTCCCTGATGTCTTCTGATGTTTGTAGAGTCCAGCAGTCAGGTATTTCGCAATCCTTTCTAGAATTTTGCATCTGTGACAGGTATAGAAAACCCATGTGGGGGTTCCCATTCTGTTACACGATGTGCTTGAACTATTTATTTACTCAGGTTGAAAAAAAGTTAATTTTCATGTTATCTTTTGATTACGGGTCACATGAATTTCAGGTGATTCATATCACTTTAAAGTCTAGAGACAGTCTTTTAATTTAGTCACTGTTTCCAACAACGAATGATGTTAACGCTGCTTGAAAGAACTGATAAGATTCTTCCTGTATCGAAGTAGAAAAACCTGTACTAGGAAGACTGGAGGACTCCCAGGATTCCAGGTCATTAGGTGGCGTTTTTCTTGAGGGCAGTGCCCTGCTCTCACTCCCGTCTCCAAGAGCACAAAAGCAGGATTGACGTGACGTGAGCTGGAGCAGATGAACTCCTCCAGTTCCTTCCCAGGCTCCTCACCCAACTCTCTCATGTCTCCTATCTCAAGGCACCAGTGTGACCTAGCCACCAAAGCAGGGGTGAAGAACAGCCTAGATTCCTCTTAATCAGTCACGAAGTCCAATGAGGCTCTCCTCTCAGACACATAGTACTCACATTCAGTGATGTTTATGTTTATGTTTAACATAAGCATATGTTAATGTTTAACAACCAACTCTTGGGGGGAAAATCCCCCAATTTGTAGTGTTGGCCAACTTCCATGGTGTCAATCCTCCCAGCATGGCTACTGTCGAGCTACTAGCAAGAAGACACTAACTGCGGGACTGGGAAGAGACGCACACAGGCTTGTTTGTACAAGCAGCCTCCAACTTTTCACCGCCTATTCGTCCACTTTCCTGACCCACCTCCGCTGCACTGAATCAGTCTCACCACCTCCAAGGCTCCAGGATTGGCTCTTGCTGATGGTTCCAGCCTTGTAGACCCCATTCCTGGAAGTTTTCCCTGGCATGCTTTTGCTCCTGCTGAGTTATTTAGGTGTCCCATAATGTCCTGTGTACAACTCTGTTTTCACATCGTATTGCTATGGTGTTTTTTTTTTTTTTTTTTAATGTCAGTTTCTCATTGGTTTATGAATGTCTTGAGCACAGGAACTGATGGTAATAACAGCTAGTATTTGAGCTGGGAAGTGTGTTAAGCGCCTTATAGGCATTATCTCATTTAATCTTTACAACAGCTCTGTGAGATAGAGATTCTTATTATCTTCATTTTATAGATAAGGAAACTGAGACACAGAGAGGCTAGGTTCCTTCAAGTTTGCACAGCTGGGGAGTGTCTCGGCCAGTGTGGACCCCAGGCCTGACTGCAGAACCAGGGCCCTATTCTACTAAGGCTCCTCTGTCTTTTTATTTCCAGCACTATGCCTGGTCCATAGCAGGCGCCCATTGATTGTGTGTTGAGTAGTTTAATGAGGGAAGGCTAATGTTGGCAGTGTTCTTGACTAGTCTCTTTGCTCTCGTCTTGCCCAACTTCACTCATACCAGCAGCACAAAGACTTTTACAAATATAAACTTGATCGTGTTACCCCTCTGATGAAAAATTTTCAATGTCTATAAATGTTAAGAAATTCTTTACTTTGATACCTATGAACCTCTGTGATCTGTTGTTCTTCCAGTCTCTCTAGCTACACATTCCACCAGTTACAATCACATTCGCTTAAATCTTATTACACGTCCAACATATTTATGGAATAACCACCATGGTCCAGGCCTTGTTCTAGGTGCTTAGGATCTGTACAAAAAGAGGCAATTTCTACCCTAGAGAAGCTTAGAGTTCAGTGGGGAGAGACAGACGCCCCTGATGTAACTGCTGCAGTGGTTGAACTAAAAGTACAGGCAGTTTGCAAGGGGGCACAAAGGGGCTGCTCCCAGTCTGCCACGCTCTTCACCTGCCCTTTAGCTCCCACCAGACTACCGGCTCATCGCCAGCAGTCCTACTGCCAACTATTTAAAATCATTTGCAGACGCTCCTTTCTGTTCCTAGACTGATTTTCTACCCCTCTCTACTTATCCTTAAAATTCCTCTCAAGCGTCACCTGCAGAAAAATCCTTGGCCACCCCGGCCAGCCCAATCGGTGTCCAGGTCTATATCCGTGCTAACACGAACATGCTGCACTGCTAGCTAACTTTCTTGTCCTTCTCCCTAGACTGTGAGTTCATTCCCGATTTTATTCCTGGACACATAGTGTGTGCTAAGTAAATGTTAAATAAATGAATAAAACAATTAATCAATTAATGATTGGCAATGTATCTGAGGAAATGCATCTTCAGTCATCTACCTCTGAACTGGCTGTGGCTGTAAACACCAGCAGGAGAGTCTCCCCTCCTCCATCTCCTCCTCTTCCATCCCTCCTCCTCCGTCTTTGGAACGCCCATTGACGTTTCTGCTCCACTTTTTCACGAACACTGGCATATCAGAGGGAAACGATCTTGATGTTTAAATCCAAAGGCAGCCACGAGGGCGATCCTCACAGTTGCTTTTTAGAATCTTTTAAAAACCTAGAGTTGTCATAACAGACCTATTTTGTCAACTTGCCTGTTGTCTGAATACTCTGTGCAGCATTGTTGTGGGACAAATGGTGTAAGACTAGAGAAAGAAGGGACAGGGGGCGTCCGGGTTGAGGATGGTGATGTGGGAAAGGAGCCCATCAGATGGAAACAACAAGGGTCGTCGCATAGCGCTGGTGGGCGTGGATGCGCAGGTGGGTGTCCGGGGGGCGGGGCAGAGGGTAATGAAAGGCTGTGCGCACCCTACTCCAACCTTTGGAGAAGCACCATTTCCACAAAGGCACATGCATGTCTATTAGTAGGTCCTCTGTATGAGGCTTGGATTTGTCTGCCGCACTCCCTGACCGATTGATTCTCATAACAGTGTGCTTTTTTCTTGTCTGTCCAAGGCCAGGGCAGCAGGGCAGGCCGCCGTCCCGCAGCTGTCACTGTGCCTGGAAGGGGAGGCAGAGAACTAGGGTGAGGGAGGGTTTTGCTTTCTAAGAGCAATAAAGGGGCAGCGCTCTGTCCTCACAGGAGGCCGGGACAGCCTCTCCTTTTGGGAGCAAGACTGTAACCGCGCTTCGCAGGTACGAAGATAAACGTAGAAAAGGGAGCAATTGAGGTTTGAAACAGGGCCTCCCCAACAGGCTTAGGCATTATAAACCAGCTTTTAAGACATTTAGAGCAAAGTGATTATTTTTAAAAGCATGAGCTTCAGTTTAAGAGCTGTTGGAGAGAGGCCCTGTGTGTTTAAAGGCCTCCTGGAAACTATTTTCTCTGACACTATGGATTTATCTTGTTGAATAATTTCCTTTGGGTCTCGAAGGCACAGATGTGAAGTTGGAGTCCTAGGAAGAGCTGATTACTGCAGGGATCATCTCTCCTTGTTCGTTAAGGGGTTTGGACAAGCCACACGGGTCAGGTCCTGGGAGCTGTGGACCGTCTCCTATTTCTTTCTACCTGGGGATGGGCGTGGGGGAGGGCAGGGGATGTAAAGCAGGCTGCACATTGGTCAGATCTTAGCATCTCTGGGCTACCTCCTATTTGTTCCTGGGAAAGTGTGTGTGTGTGTGTGTGTGTGTGTGCGCGTGTTGGGGAAGGGGAGCTATATAAAGCAGATGGGGCACCAGCAGGGATTCCAGTGGGAAACTAAACAGATCCTTCCCTCCATCTGCTTCTCTTAGCATTCAGCTTGACCAAAGCCCAGTGAAGTGCTAGAAGCAAGATGCTTCTCTGCAGTTGGGGTCGAAAGAGGTGGGCGTGGAGGGGACGGTGGGAGCGGTGGCGACAGCACGCTCAGGAATGAAGGCAGGCCTGGCTGCCTTCCCCGTGTGTCATTTACTAGCTGTGTGACCCTGGCAGGTTACCTTCTCTGTAAAATGGGGATGATGTGAGTGCCCACTTCCTAGGGCTGTTATGAGGACTAATGAGAAAGTGCAGGTGAAGTGCTTATCCTTTTGTTTGGCTGAGTAAGAACTCAGAGCTACTTCTGATCGCCCCTGGACCCCTGCGATTGTGTTTGACTTGATCTCCCTTCTTCTGTTCTTGCCCCCTTATAGTTCTTTCCCACAAAGCAACCAGAGTGACCTTTTAAAAGTGTAAAGCGCACCATGTCACTTTCCAAAGGCTTTCCATGGCTCGGACCGCCTCTCCTGCCGCTTCCCTGGGCCCACCTGCGCTGGCAGCGCTGCAGTGGTTTGCTTCTCAGACATGCTGAGCATGACCCAGCCCCAGGCTCTTGCCCTTGCTGTGCCCTCTGCCAGGCATGCTCTGCCCTCCTTGTTTCCATGGCTGGCTGTTTCCTGGGCAAAGCCCCCCACAGTGAAAAAAACTCTTCCCCCACACTCTGTCATATGTCTTCATTTTATTTTCATCACTGCCCAAAAATACTCTGTTTATTTATTGTTTCTCATGGTCATGTATAATCTCCCCAGCTCCCACTGTTGCCATCTTTTCCTCCCATAGAATTCAAGGCCCCCAGAGGAGCTTGTCCTTTTTGATTTCCTGCTGCCATGTCCTCAGAGTGCAGGGCACATGGTAGGTGCCAAATACATGTTGGTTGAATCAATGAAAGAATGAATGAGTCTTGTTCTGCTCATCTCCATCCTTTCCTTAATTCAAAGTCTAGCTCAAAACTAAACTCCATGATAGGGTTATTTCTGACCATCTTGACTTTTAGGAATATCTTCTATTTCTCTCTTAGTTTATGCCACGGAATGCAGTTGGTAATCTCTCTTCTTTTCCTTCCCTCTTCTTTCTTCCTCTCTTCTTCCTACCTGTCTCTCACTCTCATAAATTTTCCCCATTTGGGAGGTGCTCAAAATTATTAAAATTTTATTTTAATGACTTTGGATGAGATGACAAGTCAAAAACTAAATATAAAATGGACTCGTATAACTAGTGCAGTGATCTGAACACAAGACACTGGATTACGTGAGGGATTTTGGTGTAGGGGATAGAGAATTGAAGTGTTACATATTTAAACTGCACCTGGAATAACCACTGCAAAGTTAATAATTGGTGAATATGAGCGAAGAGTGCATATCCTCTTGTGACCTCTCTTTAGGTTGGTAATTTTTTAAAAATAAAATGTTAAAAGTTCTTTCTCCCCTCAAAAAATGTATCAGGTTGGCCAAATTGCTTTTGCTTTTGGCCATTATGCTTTTTCCTATATGATGGCTTTAGTAGTACTTAGTTATCTTTAACTTCATTAGAAACAATTTCATTAGATTGAATGGTGGTGACTGTCAATCAGTTTGCATTAATAAAAACTTATCATCCCGGCTGGCGCGGATCAGTGGACTGAGTGCCGGCCTGAAAACCAAAAAGTCTCTGGTTTGACTCTCAACCAGGGCACATGCCTGGGTTGCCAACCAGGTCCCAGTTGGGGACATGCAAGAGGCAACTGATTGATGTATCTCTCACACATCGGTATTTCTCTCCCTCTCTTAGTCCCTCCCTTCCCCCTCTCTAAAAATAAATAAATAAAATCTTTCAGAAAGAAAAAAGCTTACCAAAATTGGTGAATTTTTGTGTAGTCATTTTAATATTGAAGATGGAGTAAAATCTGCAACATTTTCAGCATATTATGCTTTATTATTTCTTTAAGTTTTTATTTATTTTTATTTTTTGTAATTATTTTTTATTTTTTTATTGTTCAAATACATTTGTCTCCATTTTCCTGCCACCACTTTCCCCTGCCCCACCCATCCCCACCTCCCACCCTCAATCCTTCCCCACCTTGGCTTTGTCCATGGGTCCTTTATACATGCTCCTTGACCCCTCCCTTTCTTTTCCCCGTTACCCACCCCCTCCTCCTCTCTCGTTACTGTTGGTTTGTTTTTTCTTTCAATGTTGCTGGTTATATTTCTTGCCTGTTTGTTTTGTTGCTTAGGTTCCACTTATAGGTGAGATCATATGGTATTTGTCTTTCACCCCCTGGCTTATTTTGCTTAGCACAATGCTCTCCAGTTCCATCCATGCTGTTGAGAAAGGTAGGAGCTCCTCCTTTCTTTCTGCTGCATAGTATTCCATTATGTAAATGTACCATAGATTTTTGATCCACTCATTTATTGATGGGCACTTAGGCTGCTTCCAGCACTTGACTATTGTAAATTGTGCTGCTATGAACATTGGGGTGTATAGGTTCTTTTGAATTGGTGTTTTGGGATTCTTAGTGTATAATCCCAGCAGCGGAATTGCTGGGTCAAAAGGCAGTTCCATTTTTAGCTTTTTGAGGAAATTCCAAACTGTTTTCCACAGTGGCTGTACCAGTCTGCATTCCCACCAACAGTGTCCTAGGGTTCTCTTTTCTCCACAACCTCTCTAGGACTTGTTGTTTGTTGATTTGTGTATGATCGCCATTCTGACCAGTGTGAAGTGATATCTCATTGTGGTTTTAATTTGCATTTCTCTGATGGCTAGTGATGCTGAGCATCCTTTCATATGTCTCTGGGCCCTGTGTACGTCCTCCTTGGAGAAGTGTCTCTTCATGTCCTTTGCCCATTTTTTTAGTTGGATTGTTTGTCTTCCTGGAGTGGAGTTGTATGAGCCCTTTATATATTTTGGAGATCCAACCCTTGTCCAAGGTATCATCAGCAAATATGTTTTCCCATACAGTTGTTTCCCTTTTCATTTTGCTGATGTTTCCTTTAGCCGTGCAGAAGCTTCTTATTTTGATGATGTTCCATTTGTTTATTCTTTCCTTTATGTCCCTTGCTCTAGGGAATATATCTGTGAAAAAAATCTTTGTTAATTCAAGAAAGGTAAAAATGTAATTGAAATGCAAAAGAAAATTTGTGCAGTGTATGCAGAAGGTGCTGGACTGATGGAACATGTCAAAAGTGGTTTGCGAAGTTCTTGATACTGTTGATATTTTGGCTAAAAAATTCTTTCCTGTGTGGCTGTCTTATGCATTGGAAGATATTTATCAGCCTCTACCCACTAGAAGCCAGTAAATAGCAGAAGATTGCTGATATATTCAAAAGATCCAAATCAATAAAGTTATTGGCGAAAATGAAAATTTTCTTTCCATAAAATTCATTTTATAGAAAAACCTAAATGGTCTTTTTGGCCATCCAATATAAAGTGAAATTTATCAAACTCTTTCTTTATAGTTTCAGTGTTCCTGCCATGCTTGGGAAATCCTTCTTTATCTCAAGGTCATAAGAATGTTCACTCATGTTTTCTTTCTATGGTTTCCTTTATTTATGTGGAAATATCTGACCTATCTGGAATTTTGGTGTTGAAGCAGGAAAATGATCCTGGTTTTTTTCCCCAAAATGTCTAATTAATTCTCTGCACAACTTTTATTAAATAACCTTTTCTCACTGGTATGAAAAGATGTGTTTATCATGTACTAAAAATTCCTTATATATTCCGTATATATATAATATTTCTTGATATGCCCTGGATTTGTGTTCCTTTCATGTGCCCATTTGTGTGTTTCTCAGTACTCATTTCCCCCCTTCCACAATTATTCTGGTGATTTTTGAGTATTTATTTTTCCAGAGAGTTTAAGAACACTTTAACTTGGGGATTATTGATTTCAAGTAACATACGAATCAATTCAATTGTTGTTGTCGTTGTTTTTTTTTGTTTTTTTTTTTTTGGTATAGAAAGAGGTTGTGATATAATTAAAGCAAAAGTGTAACAACCAGGCTTAGTAAGAGTTAAAAATTAAGAAGGACCTGGGTACCCATGGCAGAAATATTTAGAATATCACTCTTGTCCTCTGCCTTAACTATCACATGACTTAATCCCAACCACCAGCTTTAAAGTCTATCAGTTCAAATTCTTGAGAAAAATAATTAAATTGGCCACTGGCTAACTAATGGATTGGTTCTCCCGGATTCAGGTACCTGCAGAGTTTATGTGTTACAATATAAGGGGAGGGTTCTCAGGAAATGAATATATGGGTTTGGCACACATCCTAAATAATATATTGTAAAAGTTTTGCAATATTGAGTCTTTTAGTCCAAGAACAATGTAGGTCTTTGCACTTGTTCAAATGTCTTATGACCCTTCTAAAATATATGTTTATATATTTTATGCTTTTTATTATTTTGAATGGAATTATCTTTTTCATTATATGTATTGAAATGGTTGACAGCTTTTTTGTATATAAGAAAGTAACTAGTTTTCATATTTAATTCTAATCACCTACTTTATTGAATTTCCCAGTTATTTCTAATTGTTGTCCATTGTTTCTATGGAGTTTGATAGGTATAGAGTCATGTTATATGCAGATAAAGATTGTTTTATATATTTTTAAAAGATTTTATTTATTTATTCTTAGAGAGAGGGGACGGGAGGGAGAAAGAAAGGGAAAGAAACAACAATGTGAGAGAGAAACATTGCTTGGTTGCTTCTTGTACAGCCCTGCCCAGACCGAACCTGCAACCTAGGCATGGGCCCTAATGGGGAATCAAACTGGAGACTTTCCTCTTTCCAAGATGGTGCTCAACAGACTGAGCCATACCGGTTAGGGCTGTGTTATCTTCTTTATAATAAGTTCCTATATTTTACATTTAAAAAAATTCTAAGATTTTTACTACAAACACAATGAAACCAATAATTTTTTTTTAAACCAAGAGAACGAACAAAAATACTGTGTTACATTTTGGAAGTCTAACAAATGTGAACTTAACGAAAAAATCTAACCAACCACCCATCCATCCATCCAATTAAAAAGTTTATTGCTGCCTTTTTTAACTATCGATTCTTGAAGCTACAATAAGAAAGACACAGTCCCTATCCTTAATGACTTTAGATAAAGAAACTAACACAAAAGCAAACAATTATAACAGTGTACAAGGAAAGCACTCGGTATTCAAGGAATTGCCGAAATCAGCCTTGGACAATCAGAGAAGGCTTCTGGAGCTTTCCAAAGACATATAAAGAGATTTAAATCTCTTTAAATCTAAGGAGACCTAAAGAGATCTCTGAAGAAAATATTTTAATGGGAAATAAGTGCATTATGCCATTTAGTTGCTTTGAAATTCTTGGGTGCAAGCATGCCAATGTTTTTAGCCATTAGCCATTGTGAGATCTTCCTGAATCCCAAGCTTTTCATTTTGCCTTTGCATCTCAGGTGGCCAGTGGCGCCCTGGGAACCCTGGCCCCGGATACAAGTGTGCGGGAGGAGTTCGTGGGCACTGATTTCAATTTGGGGGCCTTGTAAGTAAAGAGAGCACTGCTCTCCATTTGATGTTTTAAAAATTATGAAATAATTAAATGATCTGGGAAGTGTTCTCTTCTATTTTCTAGAAGAGCTTAGGTAGGGTTGGTATTATTTCTTCTATAAATCTCTGGCAGATTTTACCAGTGAAGCCAGCTAGGCCTGGAATTATTTTTGGAGGAATGTCCTCCCCTTCCAACTTAGTATCTTTAAAAAATATGCATCTATTCAGGTTATCTATGAATAGTTACCTGCTGAGATAGTTTATATCCTTTAATGAATTTGTCCATTTCAACTACACTGCAGAATTTACTGGCCTAAAGTTGTTCATTATATTTCCTTGTTAATACTTTTAATGTCTGTCCAATCTATAGTGAGGATCCTTTTGATAACAGTAATTTGTGGCCCTGGCCAGGTAGCTCAGTTGGTTAAAGCATCATCCCAATATGCTAAGGTTTCAGGTTCAATCTCCAGTCAGAGCACATATGAGAATCAACCAAGGAATGCATAAATAAGTGGAACAACAAATCAATGTTTCTCTCCCTTTTTTTCCTTTCCTTTCTCTCTCTAAAATAATTTTTAAAAAGCAGTAATTTATGTCTTTTTTTCTTGTTCCATATGCAAGAGTTTTATCAGTTTTCTTAACCTTTTTGAAGAATCAGCTTTTGATTAAGTTCATATTCTTTCTTCTTCTTATTTCTTTTATTGTTCAAATACACTTGTCTCCATTTTCCTGCCACCACTTTCCCCTGCCCCACCCACCCCCACCTCCCACCCTCAACCCTTCCCTACTGTGGCTTTGTCCGTGGGTGCTTAATACATGTTCCTTGACTTGACCCTTCCCCTTCTTTTCCCCGTTACCCTACTCCCCTCTACTCCCTCCTCTCCCCTCATTATTGTTGGTTTGTTTTTTCTTTCAGTGTTGCTGATTATATTTTTCTTGCTTATTTGTTTGGAAATTCATATTCTTAATTGTTTTTTTCTTTTTCACTGATTTCTGTCCCTACTTTCTCATATTAATATAGTTACTTCAGCTTTATTTTTTATTTTTAATTTATATACAATGAAATTCCATTTTTCCCTTGTGTATAGTTTTGACAAATTCATGGAGCGATATAATTACTACCGTGAGCAGCATACACAGTACTCTCCCCTGAAACATTTCCCTTATGCTTCCCCTTTGTGGTCAAACCCTACACCTGCCCTGAGCCCCTTGTGAGTACTGATCTGTTCTCTGTCCCTTTAGTGTTGTTTTGTTTTTTTTTTTGGAACTGTTACATAAGTGAAACCACATTGTATTTAACATTTTGAGTGTGGCTACTTTCTCTATGTGTAATAAGTGTTTGATCAATAATTCATTTCTTTTCTCTCTCTCTTTTTTGATTGAGAAAGACTCTGTTGAATGGTTATAACACAGATTGTTTATCTGGTCACCCATGCAAGGACATTTGGATTATTGCCAGTTTTTGGTAATTATGAATAGATTCTATAAATATTCATGAATAGGTTTTTGTGTGATCAAGAGTTTTGATTTCTTTAGAATAATACTTAAGATAAAGACTGCTGAGTCATACTGTAAGTGTAAACTTAACTTTATAAAATTGCCTAATTTTTTGTAGTGGCCATCCATTTTGCATTACCCCTAGCAATGTATGGAACATCCAATTGCTTCTCTTTATCACCAGTTCTTTTCAAATTTTTATTGTAGTCATTCTAATAGGTTTATAGTTGTATCTCATCATTTTAATTTGTATTTTCCTAATGACTAATGATGTTGAGTATCATTCTAATTGCTTGTTTGCTACCATAGATTTTCTTTGATGAAGTATCTCTTCAAATTTTTTGCCCATTTTAAAAAATTGGGGTTGTTTTCTTATCTTTGAGTTGAGCACTCTTTAAATGCTCTGGATATAGGAAGTTTGTTGGCTATGTGATTTGTGAATATTTTCTCTCAGGTGGTAACTTATGTTTTCATTCTCTTCATGATGTCTTTCCCAGAGCAAAAGTTTTAAATTTTGGTGATGACCAATTTATCATATTTTTCTTGTATGATTTGAACTTTATATCTAAGAAATATAGGTATTGCCTAATTTAAGTTTCCAAAGATTTTCTACTGTTTTTTTCTTCCTAAAGTTTTATATCTAGGTCTATGACCCATTTTGAATTAATTTTGTATAAGGTTTGAGATAGAAATTGAGATTCATTTCCTCATTTGTGAATGTCCAATTATTCCAGAATCATTTGTTGAATAACCTTTCTCCATGGAATTGCCTTTACACTGTTGTAAAAAAAAAATCAATTGACCATATTTGTTCGGATCTATATCTAGGCTCTACTCTTCCATTATCTATGTGCTTATCATTTTGCCAATGCCACACTATCCTGATTACTGTATTTTTATCATGAAGTCTAGTGTCCATTTGAGGAAAACCGGTATCTTAACAAAACCGAGTTTTCCAATCCATTAATATAATTTGGAATAAATATCTCTCCATTTATTTAGGCCTTCTTTGATTTCTTTCATTAGTCTTTTATAGATTTCAGCATATAGATCCTGCACATATTTTTGTTTACATTTATACCTATATATTTTACATTTTTCTTTGAGATATTCTAAGTAATACTCTCCCACCCCAAAATTTTAGATTCCAATTATTCTTGACCAATATATAGAAATAATATTGACTTTTATATATTGAGCTTCAGTCCTGCAGTCTTACTGAAGTGATTTATTAACCTTAAGTGCTTTTTTGTAGGTTTTTTGGCATTTTCTATGTTGACAATCATGTCATCTACAAGTTGGAACATTTATTTATCTTTATTTCCAAACTATATGTCTTTTAGTATTTTTTCTTTTTCTTGCCTTATTGAACTGGGTAGGACTTTGGGCATAATGGTGAACAGAGAAGTAGTTTGAGCAGACATCCTTGCCTTGTCCTTGGGAGCAGAAGGCAATCGTTCAGTTTTTTAATCATTAGCTACGATATTAGCTCTAAGTTTTTCGTCATGCCCTTTATTAGCTTGAAGATATCCTTGTCTAATCCTGCTTTGCAGAGAATTGTTACCATGAATGAATGTTGAATTTTGTCAGATGTTATTTCTGTATATATTATGATCATATAGGTTTTTCTTGTGTCTGCTAATATGGTGGGTTACTTTGCTTAATTTTTGGATATTGAACCAGACTTGTATTCCCAGGACAAACCTCAGTTAGTTGTGATGTCTTTTTATATATTGCTGGATTCAATTTGCTAAATTTATGTTGAAGACTTTGCATCTATGTTCATGAGATATTAGTTTGCAGGGGTTTTTTTTATATGAAATTTTTCTTGCTTTAGGATCAGGGTAAATATAGGCTCTTAAAATTAGTGGAAAGTGTTCCTGCCTTTTAAATTCTCTGGAAGAGATTGTGTGATATTAGATTTATTTCTTACTTAAATATTTGATAGACCTAACCAGTGAAATAATCTGTGCCTGTACTTTGCTTTGTTGGAAGATCTTGACTACAATTAAATTTATCCAATACATTCAAGTCATCTTTCTCGTTAAGTGAGTTTTGGTTCCTTGTTCCCATTTCCACCTCTCCGCCCCCATCCCAGGAACCAGTCCATTTCAAATTTGTGGGCATAGGGTTGTTCACGGTATTTCTGATTAGATTTCTGCAGACTCTGAGGAATCTGTAGTGATGTTCCCGCTTCTGTTCCCCATACAGGTAATTTTCTCTTTTCTGGTTAATCTCATTAGATATTTATCAACTTTATTGATTTTTTCAAATAAGCAGCTTTTGGCTCCATTGATTTTCTTCATTTTGCTTATTTTCAAATTTACTGATTTTTACTTTTATTCACATTATTTTCTGTGGCTTGCTTTGGGTTTAGTTTGCTCATCTTTTTCTAGTTTCTTAAGGCAGAAGCTTGATTTGTGTTCTTGATTTGAGACCATTCTTTGTTTCCTAATTTAAGTATGCAGCACTATACATGTCCCTTTCTGTATAGTTTTTGCTGCCTCCCTCATTTGTGATATGGTATATTATAATATTCTTTCAGCTCTGAGATTTTCTAGTTTTCCCTGGGACAGCCTCTTTGACTAATGGGTTGCTGGAATTTTGTGGTTTAATTTCCAAATATTTGAGAATTTTCTATATATTTTTTCTGTTGCTGATTTCTAGGTTAATTCCATTATGGACAAAGAACATGCTTTGTATGATTCTAATTATTTTAAATTTGTTAACGTTTACCTTCTGACCCAGGATATGATCTATCTTGATGAATGTTCCATGTGCACTTGAAAAAATATGCACTCAGCTATTGGGTAGAGTGTTTTATAAATGCTAATTAGGTCAAAGTGGTTGACATTATTGTCCAGGTCCTCTATATCCTTGCTGATTTTTGTCTACTTCTTTTATCTATCACTGTGATAGGAATGGAAAGTCTTTAAGAATGATTGTGGACTTAGATATTTTGGTTCTAAGTTCTTTTTTCCCCAGCACTTAATTCTGGCTTACTGTCTTCTGACCTCCATGGTTTCTGATAAGAAACAATGATTTGAATCGTTGTTCCCTTGTATGTAATATGTCATTTTTTCTCCAGTTATAACATATTTTCTTTATCTTTAGTTTCTAGCAGTTTCATTATGATATGGCTGGGTATGGGCATAGTTTTCTCAGAGATTATGTTGACTGGGATTTGCTCATCTTTTTGAATCTGTGAATTCATGTTTTCCATAACATCTTGGAAATTTTTAGGTATTATTTCTTCACATTGATTTTTTTTTTTGTAGCAATGTCTTTTTTTCCTCTTCCTAGGGCTCCAATGTTACAAATGTTAGACTTTTGGTACTGTACACAGGTCCTTGAATCTCACTTGATTTTTTAAAAAATCTTATTTCTCTCTGTTGCTTATATTGGATAGCTTTTATTGATCTCTCTTCAAGTTTACTGGCACTATTGTGTCATTTCAGTTCCATTAGTAAGCCCCTTATAAATGCCCTTCTTTTTCTC